TCCACCAAAGATTAATGAACACGAAAAATGTAGTATATAACTACAAGGGAATATTACTCAACCATTAAAAGAAGGAAATGTCATCAAGTACAACATAAATGGATCTTGAGGCCAGTATGCTAAATAAGCTAGACACATTAGAACAAATACTGCAAGTTTCACTTTCGTGAGATATCTAAAACTCATTAAAGCAGACAGGGGAACAGTGGTTGCTAGAGGCTGGAAGGGAGAAAAGTGGCTCAAGCCTGTAATCCTAGCTACTCAGGAGGCTGAGATCTGAGGATCACGGTTCAAAGCCAGCCCAGGAAGGAAAGTCCGTGAGACTCTTATCTCCAATAAACCACTAGAAAACCGGAAGTGGCTCTGTGGCTCAAGTGGTAGAGTGCTCGCCCTAAGCTGACCAGCGCAGGGACAGCACCCAAGCCCAGAGTTACCGACAAAAAAAAAAAAAAAGTTAAGTGTAAGTATTCAATCACGAAAAATCAAGTTCTACAGATCCTCCATACAGAAATGTGTTTATAATTTAACAAAACTGTAGGATACCCTCACTTGAAAATCAGGAAAAAAATCAGTTAAGGGAGATTTCATATTGTGTATTTTTTTAATCATAGAAAAATAAAAGTAAATGTATTTCATAATATCAATTACAGAAATTACAATACAAAGTTATCACCTGTCAAATCAGCAAGGATTCTAAAATGCTGGTGATAGTTTCCTGAGGTAGACTCTCATTTACTCCTGGTTATAGTATAAATTGGCAGGTATAACTGTTTCCAACAATACTCTAGAAACATTCATCAAAACTGCCCTTTCATGCAGCAATTTTACTTGTAGAAATCCTGAAATAACACATGTAAACTCATTTAATAAGAGCAAAATTTAAAAATTCTACAAATGTTCTGTAAGAGAAGTGTGATTAATAAATGTTGATATATATAAAATAAAAAAACAGAATTGTTCATGAGATCTCAGCAGAAAGAGATAATTGATCACAATGCCATATTATGTGAGGAAAAAGTAAGATAAAAACTTAATTATACAGATTATCACTATGTCAAAGAAAAAAGATGGTGGTAATATTCAGAGATAACTTTTTTAAAATGGGTTGTTTCTGGGTAAGAAGTGATGGATGATTTAAAACTAGTTTTTAGAAACCCCCCTTCTAAATTTTTCCCAATTTTTGATAAAGAGCTTACACTATTCTATAATAGTACAAACAATAGTTTAGAAAGCAAATATATATGCTCATAAGCTTGTCTAGCAATAAACATTTGACAAGGTCTATTTGCTCTGTAGTCTTTGCAAACATAAATATGTGAGACAAAATGTTGAGTAACCCAAAATTAGAATCTTCATTCTAGAAATCCTGGTATTTGTTTTTATTTAAGGCATAGTTAAAACGCACACCTCCAAATTTTAATTCTAAAATAAAAATGATAGACCTAACAGGAAAAGAAATCAAGAGAAAGCATTACATTTTGTCTGGTAAACATATGGTTTCTTGTAGTCTAAGACGTAGCAAGTCCCTGAGGGATAGTGTGGTGGACCCCGGCCACAGAGGAGTCTTAGAAGGCATAAATGGCATGGCCAGAAGGAAGGGTATGGAAGGGTCTGTTCTGGCAGCAAGGACAGCCAAACCCACCCTGGCTTTCAGGAGATTGGCAGATGGTACAGCCAGATTGTCTTACCAGCCTGGAGCTACTATGTACAACAATTACATTCAGACTCATGGTACAATCAGATTCCTAATATTAGCTGGGAAGTTGTGTGTGGGGGAGGTCATGTTCTAATTGGTTTAAATTGTGAGCAGATAGCTGATAAAGGATGGGAAGAAAAAAGACAAGCTGATTTCTTTAGGAACATAAGCCACCAACTCTTGAGAAAATCACATTTACCACCACTGCCCCAGCCTACTATTTGGTCCTACTTAAGATGTATTCTTTCACTGATAAGACATTTCCTTGAAGTCAGAGAAAGCAAATTTTAAGAACTTATTTACCACCTAGAAAAGAGATTTCATTTCAGTGGGCAAGGGCTATGCTTAATTATTTTTTTAAACTTGATTGAGTTGCTGGATGTTCAAAATTGGGAGGTTTAGCATAAGCAGGATTTGAGGCTTTATAAAAACATGATTAAATTGATCAAGAGTGATCAGAGTGGCTTGATACTCCCTTTAGATGGCGCATTCCTCACTCTGTATATTGGGATTTCCACATCTGACACCTGTATGTATTCCTGGCTGTGATCAATAGAATTGCTCTTACCAGTGGGAAGCTTTCAGGGTTCACAGTGACTGACAGAAATGAATCTACTTAGAAGCCCTGAGCTGTAGGATAAAAAAGCCTCCATTGATGCAAAGACTCATTCAAAGCAACATTACCTGTAAACAACTTTGAGAAAGACAGACCTAATTAAGGACTATAAACACACTGTCAAAGACACTGGGGGAGTAGAAAGATGCCCCTTTGGAAGTCGGAGGTGTCCTGGCAGAGACATTAGAGTGGAGGGAGAAGGCTTTGGATGGAGGTTGGGAGGTTGTGTGGGAAACTCTCAGCCTTGTGTTTGGAACTTAGTAGGAGGTTAATAAATATTTGTCTCCATCTTCGTAACAACAGATGCGGAGCACAGCAAGGACGAAATGGAGCCAGAACAGTGTAATGCAATGCACAAAAACACAGCATGCCAAGAGAGGAGGAGGTAATTGTAGCCTAGAGATCAGTAGCAGCTAGAAAATAGACCTGGAAAAGTTAGGATGACAGAGCCAGGTACTGTGTAACTGCAACAGGAACCTGATAGGTCTTCTACAGTCACACATCTATATGGTAAATAGGAAAACAGAGGAGATGAAGATAACATTAATCAGACAGAAATTCAGACAGCAATCACATCAGCACTGGTGTGAAGAAAGAATTCAACCCTTTAGGGAAGGATTCTTAAAATATCCTTAAAATATTTCAGCTAACGAATATTTTAGGTAGTAACCAAATTTGCTATTAATAACTAATAACTTAGTATGATTTAATAACTCATTTAGTTTTTGTTAATACTTTAATAATGTTGCTAATTCAACTAGTAAGAATTTACTTAGTAATGACTTAGTAATTTACTTAATATTTAGTTAATATTAATCAATTTAATTGTTAATCTTAGTTAATTTAATAACTAATTTAGGTTTTACTAATATTATATTACTAAATTAGTTATTAATGTTTTAATTATTAAAATGACCTTTAGTGAAAGTATTTTGCATATTTTCTACATGGAAAATAGGCAGGATAGCTCAATTCCCTTTAGATAATTACTAAAATTAGTTGAAGCTAACTTTAATCAGATTTATTTGTAGCTTATCAGTGGTGTGGCTTTTGTTACTTTGGAATAATTTACTTCAAAAGCCTCAATTTTTTTTTTAAAAAAAAGTCAGTTACTGAGTGAAGTAAAGTCACCAGAAGCATCATGTCACTACAATAATAACCTGTCAGAGAACGTTACACACAGGGTGCTGAACAGCAAGAATGGGAGGTTACAGATGCAATTATTTCTTTTCTAGCCCTTTACTTAGGGTCACAGCCAACCAGGCGCTGTTCATACGAGGCTTTGGCAGTATTTCTTTCTTTTAAATATTCAACAGTCTTGACAGGCAATAATATGTACTTTCTAGTACGTTGCCAGTTGCTTAATAAATGTTAGAATAATAAAATTCCGAATGATGAAAAACAGCAGTCAGTAAAACTATTATGGTCTACAATTTTAAAGCCGTAGTAGTAACTTGTAAAAAAAAAAAAAAACAACCAACCACCAAAAACATAAAAAGGGAAGGAGGCATTGGTTAAACCCTGGTCATAAAGGAACATTTGTACTCTCTGCAAAATCCACCCAGGTTAATTTCCTCTTAAATTCTTTCGGGGACTGAATGAAAGCTGGGAGAAAGAGGATAAAGCATACATCAACACACACCCTCCTTCCCCCCTTAAAACAGAAACACCACAAAACTCCCGCGGCGTTCTGCAGAGGGGGAAGCCGGGCTGGCCGCGTCCTAGGCGACTTCGGGGGCCTTCGAACCCCCTCCCAGTCCAGGCTCCCCAGGCGCGGGGTTTCGCAAGCGAAGGCACCCTGGAGCCCAGGGCCCCTGGGTGTCAGGCGGAACCCGGGGACACCAAAAAGGCCAAGGCTTTTGTGGAGCAAGGCAGTTCCTAAGAGTGATCGGGCTAACTGGGGCGGCGCTTGGGGACCCCCCCCCGGGCGCTGGGCTTAGGGGGACGGACTGGGGGAGGGGGGTGCCCCGTGCGCAGCTGGCCGCTGGAAGGAGAGCGGAGGACCCCCCACCCCCACCCCCGTGATCGCTCCAACTTTTCGGGAAGAAAGTGGGGGAGAAAAATAGAGCTGCTCCTTTAAGGGCTTCCCTTCCCTTTTACTCTATGTTTACATAACACGGGGC